TGTTTTATTAAATCCTATATGAATCATTAGTACAATAAAAAAAAAAATATATTAGACTATTAATCTAAGACAGACTATTAATCAATTGTCATCAATATTGCAAATAAAATGAGTCTTGTGGATTCGTTTGGAAATATATAAAGCAACCATTTGTTACTCACCAAACTTCGATATTAAATGATAATATATATTTAATATGCAATGATGGAAGTTTAATTACAGGAAACAATTCAGTCGGTAGAATGTTGCGTCTGACTACGTGAAGAGTTAAACGCCTGTACAGATCGAAATATTCGTTACTTCTAACTCTACAGTTGATTTATTATACTCAATGATGCAGTAATATTAAATTTTATTATAATATTATATTTTATATGCATTTATAATGAATACAGCTGGCAGTATTCCTTAATTTAAAATATTGTTGTTCAACTGAATACGGAAGTATGTTACAATCTCTTTACAATATCATTAAAATACCTTTTAAAATAAAATACTAAATTATTATTAATTTATCGTAATGCCTGCATTTAACGTAATGCAAATATAATGATTATGTCCATTAAATGTTTATATAGAGCTTTATCTATATTGAATTAAATCGAAATCTTATAATTAGAATAATAAAAAATAAGAGAAGATATTATATTATACAGTCATTTGTAGAAGTAAATCAAATAAATCCTTTCAAATTGAAAATTATAATGAAAATTCTGATTTTCATCTCTCAATTTACAAGATATTAAATTTTAAATCTTCATTTATTATATTGAACTGAATGAGAGACAATGAAATACAGGTAATTTCGAAAATAATTTCAGACAGATGAGAGAAAAAAAAAAGAAATAAGAAAAAATTAAAAAAAAAGAATTCCTCGACTCAGGTGCTTCAAATTTTTCTGAGTAACGATAAAAGTGAAAACAATTGTTCGTTCATCTATGGAAATAGCTGTAAGGTCTCGCATCAAGGGTATCGGATGAGAACGAGGGGTGGAGGAGAAAGAATATAGAGTGAGAGGTATGGGAGGGTGGGAGGTGGGAGGGCAGAGAGACAGAGTGATAACGATAAAATGAAATTAAAATGAATATGGGTAATATGCGCGATTGGATAAAACGATATCAGAGACTACCAAAAAAAAAAAAAGCGGAACGAAAGATGCGGAAGAAAGGAAAAAGTCTAATTTCATCTGTATTATATATGCACTGGTATTTGTTTAAACAGTTGCCGTAGCAGTTGTAAGGTAGAAGGTAATTTAAATTATCAACGCTTTTTGTCACAGGAATATGCGGCTGTTGGGGCAAAGTTTTTCAAGAAGCAATCGGCATCAATCGTTCAGGAGTCTACCTGAGGCAGAGATTTACTTCGACCTTCAGTCCTATGCGATAATATGTAATAAGGCTAAGACAGCATCCGGGGTAAGGATCCCAGCGGGAGTCAGCGGACGAGCTCGATCATAACGATGAATGAAAAATTGGAGTTGCGTGTGCGTAGGAGGCGCTCTCAGGACCCCCCATGCGAAGATCCGCGCAACTCACCGAGGGACATTATTAGACTTCCTGTCCGACTTTGCTCTCTTTTTTCTCGTAGTGGAGTCGCTCACCCGTTGTGGGAGAGTAAGCTCATCGCTCGCGCGTGTCGTGACTTCTTTTCGCCTTCCGCACATGTGAGCCTCGGGTCCGACGCAACTCTGCAAACTTCCTCTCGATTCAGATTCTTTCCTTGGCGATGTGCTCGCTTCGTAGGTGCCTCTCTTGTAATGACGATGACAACGACTACAGCCATTACAGCGACGCCCACGTCCTCGATCCGACACCTATAATCGGAAGTCAAACGCACAATCACTCCATAACTGACCTCGAGATCATTTCCGTACAGTTGTATCTCGGACTTTGTCCTCTGGCACTTGGAAATCGAAGCGCTGCACCATTCTTATCGGCCTAATGACGTGTAACAATGGCAAAGAGCTAACCTGTCTTGATGCGAGTATTCTAGCTCGAAATCCGATCGAATTTCTTGGATGACCGTGCCAGATGTATTTTCAATAGACTAACCTCGATCGCTATGTCTTTATTAATTCAAACTCAATGAATTGTGTTGCCAATGATAATCTTGCGAGGCTCTAGTCTATAAAGCACGTGCGAAAGCCAAGAGAGTGGGCAAGTAAAATGATTCGAAGTTTTGCATGACTTTCAATCGTCAATTTTGGCACTAATGATGATTTTTTAAGAATTTGTTAATTCGATTGAAAGCAAATTTGTTTTTAAAATTAACAATAACTAGTCTATCAATCCGTTGAGAAGAGGCCAATCTCTTCATTTATAACCTTATGGAAAGGAAATTTGTACAACTGAGTCCAAAGACGGATGAAGGTTATCTAATAACGCCTAGTTTTTTCTAAAAACTTCAATTTCACCCGCTCACTATATATTGATCTATATTTGTATTATTTTTTTAATAAAATTAGTTTTTTGCTAAATGCAACTATGTTTAGAAGTATAGGATTAACCACGATAGCCTCATCTTATTACAATATAAAAAAAATATTAATTAATTTTAATAGTAATATAATGATGGATTTCAAGACAGTGATTAGTTAATGATGTTTAAACCCAGTGAAAAATTATGACAACTCGTTTAAACTATAACAGTTGATAGACATTTTATAAAGTAAATTATCAGAATGCAGATAAATGAATATCATGAATAATACATCGAATAAAATAGTCAAGGGTATGTTAGAAGTATAATAATTCAATTTCAAATTCTCGGTCTATAACCACTCGCTCATCAATTAGAGTAGATATAGCGAATATCCGAAATTATTTTTCGTCGCAGACCGTCCGAGGACGTCAGTTCGACACGCGCACTCGCCTTCTTCTCGACTCTTCCATTCAAGCTCCACTTGCCCATTCACCACGCATCCTCTCTCTCTCTCTCTCTTTCTCTCTCTCTGCTCTGGGCTCTCTGCTATCTGCACTCAGCTCTATGTTCTCTCTCTCTCTCTCTCTCTCTCTGTCTGTCTCTCTCAATCTCTCTCTCCCTCACCTTCACTTCGGGTTCATTCACCAACAATCCCGACGACAACCGCGGTGGCGATGTGCTGCGCTTCTTGCCCACGACTGCTTCCCTCTCCTACGCTGATGCTGCTACTACTACTATATCCCTCCTTCCCTTTCTATCACACCGTACTACCTCGCGAACTCGAGCGTACACATGCACTCACTCGAGACAGCCTTGATATTTGCAAGAGTTTTGCAAGGAGCGCATAATCGATAACAACAACTGGAAGTACTGAATAGTACTAGCCAGTCCTTAAGGATTCTTTTTAATTATTTCATCAATCATCTATTGCTCCTATAATTTTGAAATTTTATCTTCGTTACTGTATTGACATCGAGTAGTGAGATGACTTCTAAATTCTTTTTCTTTAAATAAGATAGCAAGACCCATATAAAGGAGTTCGAACATTTACCTCGAATGTGTGCCTCGCATGTTATCATTTGCACTAACTAAATCTACTTGTAAAGATATTCCTCTGAATAATTTTCCATGTTAAATTCAATATTTAATCTATTTCATCCATATTCTTCTAATAAATTTATTACGTTTATTGCTCCATAGCACGCGATTTTATAATTCTCAAAAATGTGCAATAATCTATCAATAATATTAATAATAATAATAATAATAATAATAATAACAACATCAACATCAACAACAACAACAACAACAACAACAACATCAACATCAACAACAACAACAACGACAACAACAACGACGACAACAACAACAACAACAACAATAATAATAATAATAGTACATCAACAAACATCCCTCCCCCCCTCTATTTCGCTCTCTTTCTCTCTCTCACCCTCTCCCTCTCTTAGAACATATTAAACTTAGATACATTTGAATTTGTGAATTGTATAAATTATTAATGAAATAAATTACGGTAAAGAAAAAATAATTTTAAAAAATTTGTACTTATTATACTCAGAAAAGCTGCTCGACTGTTATTCTGGTATCAATGTTATTATAATGGAAAGTATGTATATACTTAATTGAATATAACTAGCTCAAGTGTGATAAGTTAAAAAGAAGAATCTTTCAAATAAGTTGATGCTTGAATAATAAGTAACAATTTTCAAAATTATTACAAATAGGTAATTTCATTATAATAATATTTTAAAAACATATTAAAAACATTTTTGATATATATTAAATGTCATGAATTTGTTATGGTTATTTTTAGAATTTGGGAAAGACAAATTTTTTATATGCATAGTAAAAGTATATTTGAGTATCTAATACTGACTACACATGCGTATTTTCAATGAGCTTAGATAAAAATTTTTGTTACTTTTTTTCATTATTAAAAATGTAAAGTAATTTATGTTAAAAAATGACAAGCTTAAAGTCGATCGCACAATTGAATTTATTGCTTTTTCGCTTTACTTTTCGGTATTTTATACAAAAATGCTATACATTATCCTTTATATCTTGAAGAATTTAGCACAGACTTTATAATTTGGACAGAAATGAAAAGCACATGGAACGCAAGTGAATTATATGACAATAATAACTCGTTGAAATGATAATCCATTTGAAACAATTACAAAAGAATTCATAGGCACTGGTCGCGGAAAGGCGCATTATCGGAAAGTACAGTCGCAATCGGGATAAACACGGCTTATTCTTATTTAACAAAGTTTAATTCCTCATCCCACATAATATTGACAATATTTAGGCGGTAATAGTATGCATACTTGCTGGCGTTGATATTTCCTTCACAAACGACTTTCTCGATTGAATGATAATGTAAAATAGCAATAGAACTTGGTGATCTTGCGGATGCTTGTATACGTATATCCACGACTCGTTGTGTTGTCTCGAGGCCCTAGTTACCTGTGCGAGCTCAGACTTGCGGGCGGAGCTCGGGTTATCGGTCTCGCTGATAGGACTCTCCTAGGAATTCTTTAAAAACACGGCTGATCGAGGCTGATTGCATGCCGCGAGCGCGTAACCGATACGACTCGTAAAGATGAGGTGCGTCCGTGGAGGGAAGAGGAGCCCGAGGAAGTCGGGACTCGTAAAACTAGGAGGATGGGAGAGACTACTTATGCGCGAGGAAGTGGGATAATGCGAGCCGTGTGCACCTGAAATCATAATCATATTGGCGCGCACTTGTCTTGAGTAGATATCAATAAGTGAACCTTACCTTGGAAGATTTATCAATGGATTGGAAAAGAGGCGAGAATGCGCCTTTCGCAACTTCGTCTGTAAATAATCGAGGGTCGCCAACATGTACTACTCCATACAATGCCGCGTCAATGTCGCACACTTTTTATCCCTCTACATTACTTAAGCTCCCGTGTAAAATATTCAAACACATACTGTGGCAGTTGTCTTGCTTCATAAAATAATAAGCAACAAAACTTGCAAACCCTCTCTACGCTTTCTATGATTTCTATCGTACCAAATTGTACCATTCTTCCATCTGTATTGGTCGCTCGATAACAAAATGAAATGTGAAATACTAATATAGCTGAGAAAATTTAGAAAGGTCATAATCCTCATATATATGTATTATAATAAAAAGGGAAAATCCCGTCTGTCTTAATCAAGCTATTTTCAAATAGGTAAATTAGAATATCGTTTGTTTGACAATTTTTTGTTACATTTTCATGGATTTTTTTCTTTTAATTTAGAGTCTAATCGCATAATTTGAAAGTTTATGTAGTCCCGTTTAATTAGAAAGTTTATAGTTTACACGATCACTGTATGCGTACCTTGGAAATAACGAATAATTCTGGAAAGGCATACTTAGCGTGTCCTGTTAAATTAAAGGTTGAGCATATTAAATAATAAACCGAATTCTAGAATTCTAGAATTAATATTTCACGAGTAGCTTTATCATTTATATATTTAATTGATGGAAGACAAAGTGATAAATGTCACCAAATTCAAGAGATGAAAACTGCAGAAAAATGCCACTATAGAGAAAAGAAATTGTGAGTGCTAGGAAGAGAGGGGGAGTGGTAACATGCCCAATACATTGCACATTGAGTAAATAACAAGACGGTGGACATGGACAATACATCCGTGCACTGCATACTTACTTTCAATCACTTTGTTATCCACAATGGATTTCAACCATAGTCAACGCCTATTGAGTATTTCGAGGCGTAAAGTGCTGAGTGACAGATAAATCCTTAAGCATTGGTAGAACGTTGATTTTTCATGATCCAAAATTTTAGGAAATGTTTATACGTAAACTGACACATTAACCGTCACGAAATACCAATTTATCTTTTAATTCTATTGATTTATACGTCTTGATTTTATATATAAAAGTAACTATAGTAGTGAGCTTGTTCATGAGTGAAAAAATTTTTATAGCCAACAAAATTTTCACCAAGAATTGTTTATATTTAGTGTACTGAATTTTTTCTTCGATTTAGTGGATGTTTTGTTTGATGAACCATAAGGATCTACTGATTCCAAATACACTTACGCTTAGAAAGAAGATAATATAGAATTTGTTTATTAAAATTATATATTCATCTCATAGGAATTTCAATAATTTGTACATTTGAGAAAGCAAATATGAGAAACGTAGCTTTCGCATGTTTTATTTATATCTAAAGATTGTACTACTGTGTCTATTTTAAAATTAATATAATCTCATTGTATTATTATTAAAAAAAATTGAAATAAATATTCTAATTATTAGTCGCTCATCGAATTTGATACTTAAAATATTGTTCTTAAAAAAATTAGATAAATGGTGTGGAACTGAATAACATGAAAATATGGTAAGCCTACTATATGTTACTAAAGAAACGAAATATCTGAATTGATAAATAATAAATTTACAAAGAATGATTCAGTTTCTGAAAATAAGGTGAATGATTTTTTTATTCAGCAATTGGTTAGCGAATTAATAATTTCCTATTTACGTTACTCGCAATCATTATATATCAATTGTAAAAAAGCAAACGCGAACTACCTTTTTAGACTGAATTACCAAATTATTTTGCTATCGAAATTTAATATCTTATAAAACTTTGAATATTAAAGTGCAACTGCATTTAAACTTAAATAAATTAAATTAAAAAATAATAATATTTATTACAAAATACATTGACATAGATGCTAAGTATAAAATATAGATAATTACAAATTACAAATCCATCTCGTTATTTATTCACATAATTATTTGATTATATAATTATAAATATGATTATAGTATTCATAGAGGTATAACTTTATTTTATTTAACTGCAAAAATCATAGAAAGTAATTAGAACAAAAATAAAATTAGAATTATTTTCCAATTTTTTGTATACATTTCAATTATTATCAATTGGTTTCACTAAATAATTACAATTGAAATAAAATAACATTTTGTTGTTTATTATCTAATACATTTATGCACAGAGTTTGAATAACATTGTAAAATTTTTTTTTTTAAGTTTACGTCTAGACAAGTAAACGATATTGTGTTTGCAAATTTAACCACTTGGAAAAAAAGTTGTATTTAAAAAAAAATTTGTCGAGATAGGTATTATTACTGTATTATAATTATTTATGTTTATGTTTTTTTTTAATAAAAATGGGATTATAATAAGCAGCCTTTAAATAAAAAGTGTCAATAATGGGGATATTTTATCTAATGATTGGTAAACATTGAATGTATAGTTGAAAGAGACTTGTTATAAAAATATATAAACAGACGTAGAATTTTATGTTTGAACAATTAGAACATAAGATGCATTAAAGAATAAAAAATATAAAGAATGAGAAAATGCATTTAAAAGAGACAAAATTGCATAAAATCTATGGTTACGATAAGTATAGAAAGGAAAATATAGTTTGACGTTTAGTTAGCAATAAAAAATTTCGAATTTTGTGATCGCAATACATTTTCATCATGCCGGAGTGCATACCGGTATAAAGAGTTAAACAACTTCGATTCTTGCTGATGAACTTTTTTACTTTCCATATAATCCATAGCCTGAAGTGCAGACTCAGCTTTTGCAGCTTAACGATCAATTCGCGAGCAGGATTCATAGAAAAAGTGAAAAAAGGAAGAAAAAATATAGTTGAAAGGGCGCTAAGAGCGCTTGTACGTACGACAGAATCGGAGATACGGCGTGTTTGGAAAAAGAGCCTAAGGGGACAACGAGAAGAGCAAGGACGGGAGATAAGAGTGCAGAAGTGGAAGGAGAAGAAGGTAAGGATTGCCTGCGGGGTAAAAAGGCAGGAGCCTCGATGGTATGGCAATAACGTATTGTGGGAGCGGCTCCGCGACATTTATTCCTCCCCCCCCCCTCACTCTCTCTCTCCCGCTCTCACGTATTGGATCTTTATGCGCTTGTTAACGATAGAAATCCGATCGATACAATACCATTATTTAGTCCTTATAGTAAGCCTCCTATTAGCCAGAATGGCGCAGTAGTTCGCGACTGTTACTGCTGGGCCATTGCGTCGTTGTGCACCGAGCGCTCGCCCCGCCAAGGTCGCTAATGATTCCATTTCAACGCATTCCACGCAGGTGTACGTCGCCGTCGTTTTCGCCTTTACTGTTCATTTTTTCATCTTCGTCGTCGTCGTCGTCGTCGTCGTGGTCGTCGTCGACTTCGTCGTGGTCGTCATCGTCGTAGTCGTCGTTGTGGTCGTCGCGAACATCATCATCTCGTCGTCATCATCGGCGGCGTCATCGTCGTCATTGTCGTCGTCACGAAATAAATAAGAGAGAGAAAAGTCAGAAATGATTATCCCTCCGGTTCAACCGGTTGCAGTCCAGCCACTTCTTTATTCTCTCATTTTTCACTTGATTCACGAATGCCAATCTCTCGCTTTCTAGCGCCCTCTCTCTTATCCGTCCGTCCTCGCCTCTCTCTCTCTCTCTCTCTCTCTCTCTCTCTCTTTTTCTCTGTTTTCATATGTACCTTCCGGGCCCGAAAACGCAATACGTCGAGACGGAGCTGTGGTAAAATGTTACCGAGTCTGCTTCGTATTCTTTAGTTTTGACACTTTGTTTGGCAAGCCTGCTACTTTTTGGAAATTTGCTACCAAGTGTTTTTATCAAATGAAATATGCAAATAAACGAAAGTAGTTTCAAGACTCCTTCGACGAATTTATTAAATGTGAATGAATTTTTCTGATAAATGTTGATAAGAGGAAGTGGTCAAACTACTCAAGCAAATTCTTCACTAATTCTCTCTATATTCACATAATATACGTAATATAATTTTGATGATTAATATTGTAGGATAAAATTGAACTTTAATTATTCATAAAGTTTTACTGAAAATATTATATTCTATCTTTGTATTAATCTGAAAATGGTTGTTATTCTAACAATTTGTTTTTATTTAATTATCAATCGAGCAGTAAAATGTTTGTTGTTACTATCAGATACTATATGTTACGAAGACTATAATGTTAATATCCTAATTGAATTGATTGTTATAATATTCAATCTTATAATTAAATAAACGATCAACATCAGAATTTCTTCCAAACAGTTATTGTTGATTAAAAATTAAATTAAAATTTGTGCTGCCTTGCATTTATCAAATAAGTAGGCAATAAACTTTTTAAATAATTATTTTTCATTTTCAATAAATAATAATTAATATATATATATATATATATATATATATATATATATATCATTGTATCACATATATAAATGAAGGAGGAAAAAGGAAAAAAACAGTGTTCATCGCCAATCAATTATGCTGTAATGAAAAAGTCAAAAAATTGTCAATTTATTAACTTATTCAATGGTATAGAATCAATTTAGTAGCATAATTAAATTGTAAAAGTATGGGGAGGAGTGAGAGAAATATATCCAAAGAAATGTTTGTTACCATACGTTGCCAAGATGAAGTTATTCGTTACTTATCGGAAAATATTTAAATTTAATAACGGCTATTTTAAAATAATACAAGTCTTGAAATAACTAGCTTTGGAATATGCTCAGAAAATACCAGAAATTATCCGTTACTCAAAAATCTTATAATAGCTAAAAGGATTATGTTAAAGCAATTGCAATAGCGATAGGATAGGTGCTGCGCATTTAACTTAAATTTAGTGAAAAGTACTTTCCCGACGACACGTTAGAATGCAACTTATTAAATTATTTACGCGATCCCCGATATATCTCGCTAGCTGTTTCAGCAAACTTTTAATACAGTGGTGGCATTATCTCAAATTGCCAGCAAGGAAGTCCAATGCAGTAATAGAGATTATCCGAATCGTAATAA